TATATAAAGGGCTAATAATTATATATGTATATATATATAACATGTACTATATAAAATGTATATATATATATTATATATACATACATACATATATATACACATTGTTCGAGCATCTTACAAGCCCTATATATACATACATATGTATATACATACATGGTTAGATAAATGCGAAAAAACCTTACCTAATATCCCACCGGAACGTGTATAAGAGTATAGAAACAACAACTAGGAACGTAACTGAACTACAGGTACAAATCACAACAATTATCGTAATACTATAGCATCTTAGAGAGTTCGCATCAAAGCTAACTAGACCAATATTTTGTTTTTTACACTTAGCGTGCTCGAGTTCAACGAGTGTTGCATTGGTTTGGTTAATCCAGTTACGGAACCACACCAGGTCACAATCGCAAACAAAAGGATTGAACACAACTCCAAGCATAGTTAAATTAATCAAGTTCTGAAGACCAACATTTTCACTTATTGTTGTTAACGTGTTGTTTTGTACAAAAAAACGCATAATATTCGGTGAATCAAGAAATAATTCAGAGTGAAGTTGACCAATGTCATTCGATTTGACGTCAATATTAGTTAGAGATGGAAGGTTATGGAATAGATCGACAGGTAGTTTGGTTATTTGATTTCCGGAAAGATAGACAGATTTAAGTTGAGTACAATTTTCAAACAAGCCTTTTTCGAGAGTCTTTACAACCGAATGCCTAATATATATATATTCTAAGGATACCAAATTACTAAACCAAGCCTTAGGAATGTTAACCAATCCACGATTGTAGTCCATATGCAAGATCTTCAAGTTGACTTGGGCATCAAAGACATGATCATCTATAATAGGTGATTGTAAAATATTGTAATCCAAGAACAATTGTTCTAGTTGAGTGAAGGGCGCCAAGCTTTTATTGCTCATTTTGGCAATGTGATTTTGGATCATAGATAATACCATTACATCCACCGGGATTGATGCTGTAGGAATGTGATTATTTGATTTCTTATCGCAGTCAACTCTGTGTCGGAATAACAATGAGTGTCCATAGCTTTTACGACAGTAACGACAAGAGCAACTATCAGGACAGACTGTGGTATTTGGTGCCCGTGTTCCATTGATTTGGTATGGGTTGTATGGGAAGCAGTAATCTATACCTATTTCTCCCTGCATTGAAGTGGTTGCAATTACTTTTAGAAAAAATAAACCGACTGTAAATATTCCAAACATGTTGAACTCTTTAAATAATTTCAAATAGGAGACAGTTACCCCTATATTATAGGTTGTAAAGCTTTCAACCAAACAGAATTTCCTACACTGATTTTAGGATGTTATAACTTTACATTATAACCAAAACTTTTTAGAGGCGGAGTTATGCAAATTGTTTATGGATGGCTCGTCTCATCACGAGGGAGGAATATCAACGAAGCGAAATGTAAGTGCTGATAAAATCAGTTTCACTTTTGTATTGCTCGCTATATACCATTGAATTAAGTAAACATACACTACTCATTCCACATTTTTACTTTCGTATTAGATTTAATAAGATAAATATACACAGATTGAAAAAAAATACTATGTAACATAGCCTCCATGCAGAAAATGTTTTTTTATTATTTTTTTTTATAAGACAGCTGCTTTTTCTTAAATAAAACTTAAATTAAAAAGTACAATTTAAATGACTTAATTTACAAAAAAGAAAAAAAAATCCCAAACAATAATAGATACTTTCAAATCACATAACAATTTCTATTAAACATAAAAATGCGCTTAATCAACTAAATTAATCTAACATGACATATTTTCAACTAATATTCAGACCAATATTCGTCCATATAACGTTCTCATTCTACCTCCGAAATTTACTAATTTGGGACACACTACAATACACCTCAGTCACGTCATAAACTCTTGCAGATATCAGAGCCTGCGTTCTGTAAGTTCTGCAACAACCAATTAAACACACCAAGCACAGCGTTTCTTCTTTTCGTCTAGTGTCACTTTCTCTTTTTTGTGCATGTAAAAACACCTCTAAATTTGGATTATTTTATTAAGTTCGTCTTTTAACCATACTTTTGAAATCACAAAGTATGCTAACCCAGCAACCATCATTGTATATACATAAAAGACATTCTTAAATGTGTTTCAGAAAAAAGCAAAAATGAATGAAATGAATGTATAAATTATTTAGTATTGATGGTTAAGTAAAAGTAATAAAGAAACAACATAGGCCTATATTTCCTTAATCATGTACAGTGTAATAATATTAAATATTGTATTAAAACAAATTTTGGAACACAGTTAGGAAGTGCGCTCCAATGCTTTGAATGATCACCATAAGAGTTTAATCGATTTAGTGGATAGTAAAATATAGTTGATGTGACAGAACGTATGAATCTTTATAGGAGTGATGTCTTGGGGTCTAGGTGTTCCACAGATAAGACGAGCAGCGGCATTAAGCTCTCTTCTTCTCGAGTCACTACGTAGCTATAGTGTGTATGATCCAGTGGCGTCTTGTGGGGCCCTGGCTCTGACTCTTATTTGAGGCCTCTAATAAGTGTGCGAAGCAAGCGTTAAGTTTTCGAGCGGTGCGAGCAAACAGACGCAGGGGGCAATTGAAAGCATTGGATCCCCGGACGGAGTCCAGGGGATCAAGTCCCATGGTGAGGTTCCGAGGGGCTTTGGCGCTCAGAGCTTATGCCATTTATGAACTGTTAACATAGAGAATTGAATGGTCCATGACTGATGAAATATTTCGGACAATTTTTTGACAAAAACGAGCATCGATTACATAGGCCAACTTTCGGAACTGGCATTGGCCTACCAGTAGGCCTATGTACTCTATGTAGGTGTAAATAAATAAAGAGACTATTTTAGTGCTTTTATTGTTTAAAACTGTCGTGGCCCCATTGAATGAAACTATGGTATTATAATTTATATCATTTTTTAAAACTACAATGTCGGGGCCCCTCGTACCTGGGGGAACTGGCGCTTCGTCCCCCGTCAGCGCCCGAGCGTGACGCCACTGGTATGATCTTGCTTACGTAGTGTGGTAGAAGGATTCGCAGGTAGGATACCTGACATGGGTTACGACGTAAACGCTCCTTTTGTGGCCGGACAGGGGGCTGAAAATAAACCAGTACAACGGGGTACTGTAACCCTACTCTTCTCTGAAGGCGGATGTACAGGTTTTTTTAAAGTACACACGAGCCAACTGATTACACTGGACGTAGGATTTAAAGTCCTTATCCGAGAAGACTTGTTCCACAAGCGGAAACATAGGCGAGTGTGGCGTTCGAACCATATCATGGCTGATGTCACTGTTCCCCTGTATTTACCGCTCCCCAATCGACTCGCCTGACATTTAGCTAAATTTGTAGTTTCCTAACTACAGTATTCGGAACATAAAGAACTGTAGCCCAGCTTCGATGTGACAAAGCGCGGATCCAGGATTTTCCTTGATTTTTCACACAGATAGGGTGGTCTTTGCATTGGTCCATCCAGAAATTCGAAATAGAGGGTGTCCAGAGAGGGACCTCCACAGACAGACACCTAAGCCCCATTATGGTTGGGGCTGAGGTAATAAAATTTAAGATTGCGTCGACTGTAGATGGCCGGAAATGGCACTCTCGGGATTTCAATATAATTTTCAGTTAATAATTAATATTACTTCAACATTAATTATATTTTCTGTACACTTTCTTTACATTTTTAAAATTTCGAGAAAATAGGTCCGCAGAATCGCATTAACACGGCGAATACCTATACATTGGTTACGATAGCCACCGGCCGACTTTACTGCAACATTTGCGCGGAAATTGGCAGACTTATTTTTAATATGCGTGGATGGAATTTTTCTTTATGAGATAATCTAGATGTGTATAAGAGACAGCCTCGTACCTGGGGGAACTGGCGCTTCGTCCCCCGTCAGCGCCCGAGCGTGACGCCACTGGTATGATCTTGCTTACGTAGTGTGGTAGAAGGATTCGCAGGTAGGATACCTGACATGGGTTACGACGTAAACGCTCCTTTTGTGGCCGGACAGGGGGCTGAAAATAAACCAGTACAACGGGGTACTGTAACCCTACTCTTCTCTGAAGGCGGATGTACAGGTTTTTTTAAAGTACACACGAGCCAACTGATTACACTGGACGTAGGATTTAAAGTCCTTATCCGAGAAGACTTGTTCCACAAGCGGAAACATAGGCGAGTGTGGCGTTCGAACCATATCATGGCTGATGTCACTGTTCCCCTGTATTTACCGCTCCCCAATCGACTCGCCTGACATTTAGCTAAATTTGTAGTTTCCTAACTACAGTATTCGGAACATAAAGAACTGTAGCCCAGCTTCGATGTGACAAAGCGCGGATCCAGGATTTTCCTTGATTTTTCACACAGATAGGGTGGTCTTTGCATTGGTCCATCCAGAAATTCGAAATAGAGGGTGTCCAGAGAGGGACCTTCACATATAACTACATCAGCCCCACCATGGTTGGGGCGGAGGTAAGAAAAATTCAGATTACGTCACCTCTAGATGGCCGGAAATTTTCAGTATTTGGCAAATACCTATACATTGGTTACGATAGCCACCGGCCGACTTTACTGCAACATTTGCGCGGAAATTGGCAGACTTATTTTTAATATGCGTGGATGGAATTTGTCTTTATGAGATAACTCTAAATCAATTTATATTTCCTAACAAACCCCTACCCACCCACACCTACACCGTCCCAATGGATTATTATGCAAGAAAGAAGACATGAAAGGAAAAGAGAAGAGATTTTTAAAAATTGAAAAAAAAACCAAGAAAAATAAGAAATAAGAAATAACAAAAGGAAGGAAAGAAAAAAAAGAAAGAAGTAAAATGGTGGAAAGAAAATGACAATAAAAAAACTAAAAGGAAGGTAAGTATAAAAAATGAAATAAGAAAAAGGATGAAACAATATTAAAAAGAAAATAGATATTAAAGGGATAGTAAAGAAAAAAGGTGCAAGGTAAAAAATTCAACCTAACTGGAAGGAAAGGGAAAGTATTTCATGAAAATTTTCAATTGTTAGGAATATTTCTAAGAGATTAATAATTATTATTACTTTAACATTAATTATATTTTCTGTACACTTTCTTTACATTTTTAAAATTTCGAGAAAATAGGTCCGCAGAATCGCATTAACACGGCGAATACCTATACATTGGTTACGATAACCACCGGCCGACTTTACTGCAACGTTTGCGCGGAAATTGGCAGACTTATTTTTAATATGCGTGGATGGAATTTTTCTTTATGAGATAACCCTAAATCAATTTACACATAAACAGAGTTCCAGAGTTTTCACCAACATTTCGGGAGTGCTGAGATTCCAGCTCCCCACTTGTCAAAGGCCATTTAGGCTTCGTTTTAAGCCCGAAAAATTGGCATCACACAGTCGGCCGGCGACCCTTCTTATTTAGGTTATAATGTAGCCTAGAACATTAAGCCTGGGCCTGTACAACTTCAGCAAAGTATCTTATACCTACATATATAACGATCTATATTTTGATTTTCTTGTTCAATGGTTGTTTTTATTGAGAATTATTTAAAAGAAAAAAAAGAAAAACTGGTACGCCTTCCAACTTCAGTATTAATCGCCAGAGAACATCGTCACACTTCTAGTGTTTACAAAGGTTTCGCGGAGTAACATATCCCAAACATTGCAAGTTGCCCCGAATGATGTAATACCCTGCATTCTCATTGGTTTACAACTTGCAATGGATTCAACATACCTTACTCGCCAGCCGGTGTAGTCGGGCGCACACGTGGTTTGGGATGTTACTCCGCGAAATATAGTTTCGTAATTGGAAGGCCTGTTACCAGTTAGTTCGATGTTGTTTTGTTGTTACGTTTTTTGTTGTTGTCAAAACAAGAAACACTTCTTGTAGAATTATATATATTTTTTATATATCTTATAAATTAAATTAACCAATTAATTCAATTGTTGCACTTTATTAATTCCACGTTTAAAATTTAATCTTTAAATATTCATTTATATACAATTCAAGTTTTATATTATTTCAAAACACGATTAAACAATAATTTGCTTACTTTCTGCTGATACTTTGTTAAGAACGAAATAAATTGTTTGATAGAGGCCCATTATTGGTTGCCTATGAAATAACTCTGCTTACATTCAGTGAGAAACGTTCCCAATTCCAGGCTCCTTCTGGTAGACACAGACACCGAGGTTGCCAGACAA